TTTTTTTTGAAGCGATTAGAAGCAGTAACTGCAGCACTGTGGATATCTGACCCACAGTAATAAGTCCCGGCGTCTTTCGTTGTTGCCTTTTGAATGTCAAGTATAAACCGGCGTTCTGAAATGTCAATTTTCCCTTTGAAATTGCCCATTAAATCCTCAGTAGAATTGTTATTTAGTTTGTATACTAGAATCAGAGCATTATCTTCACTCTTCTTGTACCAGCTCATTTGAAGCTTCCTCAGGTCTTCTCCTGTTACAGTGCAGTGGAAGATGGCATGGTCCCCAGCTACAACAGTTATCTGGTCAACTTGTTCCAAACTTACATCCAAAGAGACCCCTGGAGGGAAGAATCTAAAGTCAGAGAGTTTGCAAAGAACTTTTTGCACCCCAAGTGGAAGAAGTTTTGGTGAATGCTAGGCATCAAGTCACCCTACTTCAGCCCCAGAAAATTATCCTAGAGATATACTCCCCAGTGAGTGAAAGGCCCAGGCGTCTGTCCTTACCTGTACAGAAGAGGAAAACGTAGAAGCCTGGACATCTCCAAAGCATGGCTTCCCTGAGGATGACTTTGCAGTAGGCTGGTGCTTCCCCGGCTGCCTTGCCAAGACTCGCCTCTGTCTGGTCTCCGTGAGAATCCTTATCTGCTGTAAAGGTGGTTTGAAATTAGTCACTTCCTTAGAGAGGTGTGTGGCAAGCTAATGAGGTCACGGGCTGTCACCATATTAACTCAACAAACACAGACTAGCCATCTATTGCAGGCCAGATATTATTTGGACGATGTAAAGTAAAAAGGATATGGCTTCTGGCTTCAAAAAATTCATGTTTTTTTTTTGCTTGTTTTTTTTTCTTCACAGGGAAGTAGAGAAAACAGACAACAGTGACCGGAGAATTAGGTTCTACAGAAGAGGCGGCCCCACGAGTTCCAAGAGCACCAAGGAAGAACTGCCTGGGATGCTCAAAGCAGGGAATCCTGGACTGAGCCCTAATTGCTGAGAAGGACATGGCAGATTTTGTGTCTAGAGAGCTCCGCAGGGGAGAGAGAAGGCATGAAATGTAGTGATCCAGTGTGTGAGCGCTGCCTTCCACCTCCCGATAACCTCTTGCATGGTCCCCCACACTGACTGGTTGCCTTCTCCAGTCTTAGGCCTTTCCCTACTTGTGCTCAGTAGCTGCAGAGAAGTACTCAAGTTCAAAGATTGCTACGTAGTAGTCTTGATCTACTTCCTGCTGCTCCTTCTTCCTGGAATGCTAACAACATCCTTCTCCCTTTCCCACTCCCATGAGGGAGGCATCCCCTGAATTCCCTGAAACGTTAGACCGTGGCACTAATCAATTTCACTCAATTGTCTGAGATTTGGTTTCCTGCCTGCCTAGGGTTTTAAGATTATTTAAAACAGAGACTTATTTACATGTACACTCCCATTACCAGACATAGATTATGTCAATATTAGTAGCTCGGTAGATAATTTACTGGCCAAGTAGGATTTTTGCTTGGAGTCCCTGAGACTGGAGAGACCCAGATGGCTGCTTGCTCACTCTAGTGAAGACTGAGATTAGAGAAAGATTTGTTAACAAATAGATTAAAACCTGAGCCACCTATGTCTTCTGCCCAACTTTGTGATGTCTTCATCCACACCTGTCTAAACAGAGCTTGCCTGGAATAGTGTGAGGCTCACTGCTTGGATGCAGCCGCTCAATGATCACCATTATGGAAACAGAACACTGCTTTTGCAGATCTGACTGTGGCTTGAGTCTTGCTTTGAGACTTGCCAATATGAGGCGATTTATGTCTTGAAGCCTTAATTTCCTCATTTGTAAACAGGGAAATTTTAGTTTGTAGGGTTGCTGTGGGGTGGAAATGAAAAAATATAGCAATGCAAAACAAAACACAAATCCCCACATGACAGATAAGCAGAGGCTCCTTTGTCTGGTGTGTTGTCTGCAGACTCGCCAGAGAGGCTGGTTTCCTTGTGTCGCCTCTTCTGTACTATCGCGGTGTGTTGTGACCTGGTCAGAGCTCCCCGCCTAAGTCATAGTCACCAGGGAAGAACCAGAACTTGTAATTTCAAGTCTGATATAGAACAGTCCTCTGAGGAAGGGAGGTTTCTGCTAAGTGTGTGAGTTTGTCTGTAGGTCTCTGGGTCTTTTCCAGGCAGGGAGCCGTGTCAGAGATGTCCTGCTATCTTCTGTGCCTTTAGGCAAAGGCCCTAAGAGCAGAAAACCTCTATTATTCCAGCTTATGTGGGATGAGCAGGGTTTTCAAGATCAGAAAATGGTCAAATAAAACCAACTCCTACTCCATACACACCCAGCCTGCTAGCTTTCCTTCTGATGTTCTTCTCCACCCTGAGGTCTTGGTACTACCTGCTGGTCTCTAGAGATGCTCAAGTATCTATGAAGGCTGATGCTTTCTGCTAGTCAGAACTTATAGACTTGCTTTGCCTTTGGTTTGAGAAAAAATCCACTCTCCCCACCTTCCTTGGTTTTTTGAGCAAAGAAAAGTGTGAGTGTGGAGAAGAGCTCTTTCTTTGGTTTATCTTTTACACTCCACCCTCAGACTTCTCACGTAACAGTTAGCTGTCAGTCCAATGGGCTGTCACGTGTGCTTGTGATGGCGTTCTGTTCGGGATGGCCTTTATCAGCTGCCACTCGGCTTCTATTCTGTTTCTAGTTTCTCTGCCATCATTGGCTGGCTGGATAACAGAGTAAGAACAGAGGTGCCTGGAGAAAGGAGTGGGATTTGTGTTTCCCCCATACAGATATAGGACCTCACTGCTGGGCATCTCAGGACTGCCATTAGTAAAAAAGAGATTCTTCTCCCATGTCTGCTTTGGGTTTCGAGTGTGCAGGCTGCTGGAATTTCTTTATTTCTTTGATTTGTTTTCCTGAAATGTCTGTTCCTCATTGGTTGTTTTGAAGCAAACATGAGAGATTTTTTGCCAATATTCCATTTGCAATTCACTTACCCAGCTGCATGGCACTGAATGAAGCAGCTGCCAAGGAAAACAGAGGTGAGCTGAGATTTCTTCATGTTGTAACTCTGCTGCTGCTGCTGACGTGGGACCTTGGGATGTAAATAAATAAACATTTTCATATTTAGTTGCAGCTCAAGGTTTGATCCCACTAGGACGGTTCCTTGGTTCCCACCAGCAGCAGCTCATCCTGGGATCTAAATGTCACAATTCCAATCCATGCTCCACTCTAGCCATACTCCCATAATCACTGCCAAGAATCAACCTCTTGTTCCCACACACGTCTGCAATGGCCCCTCTGCTGTGCTGTGTGCTCCGCCACTGTGTGAACTCCATAGTCAGTGGGGTTTGTGCTTCTTCCCTTGACTTTGATTCTTGTCAGGATATCAGGGCCATAGTAGACACTCAATGCACATTGTCGAATGAAACGTTAATCATTCCTATTCTATATGCTGAGACTTGTTGGTAGTTGAGCACTTAATTAATTAGTTGAATGTTCTTGGTCACTGTTTCTTTAGTGTTTCACCTTCATAGATGAGAGAGGGAGACTGATGGGCTTGCTATAGAAGTTAAGGTGGTTAGAACAGACAGAAAGCTTCTGTTAGCTCCAGTGTGATGTTTATTTTGATTCCCACAAATTAGTACCTACCTGGAAACCTGCCTTTGGGCAGTGCTTGCCAGTCAATATATAGATCGCCAAGGCATTGCCCTTCTTCCTTCAAATGTCCCTTTACCATTTGTGGTAGCTTGTTTTGGAAAAAAAGAAAGATAATGTAATCACAGACACTCAGTATTGGCTAATGAAAAGAAGATTGGACACCTGACAGTCACTTTTCCCTCTTACATGTGATGGTAGAGTTCCTTGCTGGTAGACAATACATCAGAGCACTTCAGAGTGTGCATCCTAAATTTTGCTCAATAGTTCTGAGCACATGTCCTCAGTGATCCCAAGTGTCTTGGGGAAAAAGTGAGCCTAGGAAGAAAAGCCAAGCTTATTGAATTGGTCCAGCAAAGATAAGCCTTTGAAATCTGATCCTAAGACCAAATTCAACAAAGAATTATCTCTGACTTCTCACCCCAAGAAAAAGTCCATTTTGTGCTTCCATCTACTTTGGAAGAGCTGATCTCAGGGGACACCAGTGCTGATAAGCCCACATACTGGCTGCAAATGAGAAATCCAGCAAGATGGCAGGGGATGAAGCTTCCGTTCAAGAATGAACAGGCTGTGAAACCCAGGAACACAGGTGTCCTTAGAAGAGACATGTGTATGAAGTACATGAATGTGTGTGAGCATGTGGGTTGTATGTGTACATGTGGGCACATATGGAGACTAGAGGCTAATGCTAGATGTCTTCCTCTCTTGCTCTCTACCTATAGGAGGCGGTCTTCACCCACTGACCGCCCCCAGCTCAGCCATTCACACCCAGGAGTCACTAAGGTGGTTGCTGCCATTATTCTAGGCTGATGTGGAAGTGTCTTAGGGCAGCCTGGACCCTTTGGCTAAGCTTGGCATATTTAAAAAAATGATCTAGTAAGGTCAGATATTCTTAGACTTCACTTGTTGCAAGCGGGATCTTTTTCAGGTTGTCCAGTATGCTGACATTTTGATAGAACTAATTCATTACCTTTATTTACGTTCACAAACAGCCTTAATTTTATTTCTAGGTATATGTTTGTAAATTATTCCATTATTCTGTCCAGTTAATGAGTAGAGGCATTGTTGCATTTTAATATCTCACAAAGTCCATGTTTGCTTGTTTTATGAGGTCCAAACAAAAATTACCTTCTTATTTGCTTTTTCCTATGTAGTAGGCCCTTAATAATTTATTAGCATCCTTTGCAACATCCTTTGAAAAATATTTTCAAGGTCTTTTCAATTGTGGTTCTCTAAATTCCCATTGATATTTAGTTCTTTCTAGAGAGGATGTTAATATAGAGAAATGCTTACGTTTCTAAGAGATCGACTTAATTCTGGTGTGTATGTAATATATGTATGTGTGTGTACGTGTGTGTGTGCATGTGGGTACATATGGAGACTAGGGGTTGATGTCGGATGTCTTCCTGTCTTGCTTTCTACCTTATTTTATTAAAACAGAGTCTTTTGCTGAACTTGGAACTTCAGCGGTTCAGCCAGCAAACTTCAGTCATCTTCCTGCCCCTGTCCCCTTAGCACTGAGATTACAGGTCTGTGCACTGTGTTCAACTTTTTTACATGGGTTGGGGAATATGAGCTCATGTCATATCAGGTCCTCATGTGTACAGGGAAGGCAATTTACTGACTGACCCATAGTCCTAGGCCAGAGATTGACTTAATTCTTATAAACAACTTCCTAAAGGCTAAACTTAGTCAACTGTGGAAAATGTGGTGATTATCACCATGATAACACCTTCAAGAACACAGGTAGTTGATATAAGTGTACTGGGCCTTGTTCTAAATATATCGACACTAGATAGTTCATTTAATTTTAGCAACAATTCTCTCACGAAAGTTCTGATGTGAGAAGAAAAGCACAAAGTAACTTGCCCAAGGTTATGTGATTCATGAGTTAATCAGAGGAGACCTAGGAGTCATACCTGAAGAAATCTGACTTCCAAACTTAACTCAGCAACTTCACTAGGCTGCCTGCTTCCCATCCATCCGTCCGTCCGCCTG